GCAATGCAGTGGAATGCAACCGTTATGCCTCTAGCATCAGGTCGGTGTTGAAACCCGAGTCCCACAGACACGTGTGCTTCGGATATCAATAAGCGTCCACACATGCAGGCGGTATGTACATGATTTTACTGAATACGCACTGTATATATTTCGCTTGCAGTCACTTGTATTCTTTTAGTAGAGATGTACTGGATAGCGCACTCACCAAGTAACCCAGGTGCTCTGACCTCCCTTACAAGATATGCAGAATATATAATGGTTTAGCCACTCCAGGATAAAGCAGCTTTATTAGGGCAAAAACAGCAACGTTTTGACCATGCTGGGTCTTTATCAAACTTATATTCTTTTGTCATCCTGATGAAAGCTCTGAATTGGAGCTGAAACGTCGATTATTTTTTTTTATATTTCATGCATTAAAAGTTAAGTTTTATACTTTCTAAATTAAGGCCTTGGAGTGTGGTCACTATTTTGATATGGATATATTCACAATGTATATATCAGGTTAGTTTAATTAGCTATATAGTTATTGGGTTGTGGACATATTGTTTGTGAAGTTGTAGAGAATTGCACCCCTAAGTATATTTAAATAGAGCCTTAACCTGCTCTCCATAGATGACGGGGGTGAGGAACCATAGGTCCCCCCCTGTTAAGTTTTATTTTAGCCACCTCCAGCTGATCACAAGTAGGGGCATGTGTGGATTACTATGTTCCCTGTAGTATTATTTAAATAGAGTCCCTCCAAGGGGGCACAATGTCTCCTCACTTTACTTTTAAATTATAGCCGCACAGGCATGGACACTGGGGTTGGACAGTAACACACCATTCCTTAACTTGAAGCCCACACCCAATTCCAACAGGTGCGAGGGAGGGTGTTTTACTAGCGACTGAGCAGCAATAGCTGAGCAGACTGTTTAGCAGAAATGCTTGGCAATCATCCTGCAATTCACCGGTATGCTTTGCACCTTTGTGTTGCCTTCCAGAATGGCACCCATGTGGGGAGAACAGTACCCAACTACAAAGGAACCATCTTGAAGACATGTTATCAGCTCCATCAGTGACCTTGAAACCAACATGCAGATTCATGCCTGTCTGCTTTTCCAACTAGTTTCCCAACATTCACCTGCTTTCCTTAGAATATGTTTGCTGAGGTATGCTTTTTGGCCATCACTTCAGCATGAAAGAGAATAGATCTATAGCCCTACAGATCCAGTCCCAGCCAGACCTTCTCCACTGCCACCTCCATACCTAGACACCCAATGGCTGTCACTAATGTGCCTTCAAGTAGATGAAGGCATACTGGCCACTAGAAGCACTCCTTAAATCTGTGGCTATAGCCTTAGCCAGCTGCTCCTTCACTAGTAGCATATAGGAATGGTACTATCTTCCTGCTGAAAGTGACTCATGACTGAAGAACATTTTGCCGAGCAAGGGCCTATATCAGTTGCTTAAAGGACTCATATTCTATAATGTAAAAACAAACACCACATACAGCCATCACCTTGTCAATCAGGCCGGTGGTTTTGTTAGCCTACTGTTTTGAAATGCCTATGGCATGAAATCTAATAAAATATTCAAGAGTCAGCTGGTACACATGTCCCTGGGGTAATGTGCACTGGGAATCTTTCTATCTTTTTCACCTAGTGACAATAGGCACCACATCACCCTGCTCTGTCTCAGGGTGGTACTACTGAAGGAAGTATCAATGGTGGTAGCTAGTGCAGAAGCATAAACAATAACCAGTGGACTTATTGCCAATAAAGACTTGTGGTGTGCATATTTTGGTTCAGACCAGCACTAATTAGATAACCCTTCACTCACAACCTTTCCACACAATTTTCAATTCGCAGTTCGCTCTTCTAGGAGTAATGTAATGCCAAACATTGTTTCTACATGACCTATTAGCCTCAACCCTTGACCATATAGCTGATAAAGATTTAGGTGGATTTGCATCTTTGGAAGCTGTGGCAGCATTAGCCTCTACACTAGTACTTCTATGGATAATTGTAATGAGAAGGGAGGTGCTGGTGTTAATAATACTATCATTGGGTGAAGCTCAGTGGCGTACATACCAGCGTCGCAGGGGTCGCGACTGCGACCGGGCCCGGCCCACCAGGGGGCCCGGCCGCCCCTGCGACCCGGTATGTACGCCCAGGGCCAGCCTCTTCCCCTGGGGGCCCAGGAGCCGACCACCCCAGGGCCCCCCTGAGGCTGGCCCCGCTGACCCCGGGTGGCCGGTCGGGCAGGCAGGCGGGCGCGCGAGGGAGCACTCAGTGCTTCCTCTTCAGCTCCCTCGCGCACCGCAATGATACCGGAGCCGTCATCTTCCGGCTCCGGCATCCCTACGCGGTGCGCGAGGGAGCTGAAGAGGAAGCACTGAGTGCTCCCTCGCGCGCCCGCCTGCCTGCCTGCCCGACCGGCCACCCGCCCAGGAGCCCAGCAGACCACTGGACCCCAGGGAATCCCCCCAGCACTCCAAAAGGTAAGGAGGCTGGGGGGATTAAATTAAAAAAAAAAAATCATATGTGAGTGTTAGTGTGTGTGAGTGTTAGTGTGTGTGAGTGTTAGAGTGAGTGTTAGTGTGTGTCTGCTAGTGAGTGTTAGTGTGTTAGTGTGTGTGTCTGCTAGTGAGTGTCAGTGAGTGTGTTACTGTGTGTGTCTTACTGAGTGTGTGTGTCTTAGTGAGTCTGTTTGATGTCTGTTAGTGAGTGTGTGTGTGTCAATGAGAGTGGATGTTTTGTAAGTGAGTGTGTATGTATGTCTGTCGCTGACTGTATCTCTGTCAGTAAATGTGTGTGTCTGTTAGCTAGTGTGTATGCGACTGTAAGTGTGTGTGTGTGTGTGTCTTCAGCACTTACCTTTCTCCAGCGCCGGACTCCCTTGGCGCCGAGGATCCCTCAGCCTCTCAGCTCCGAATGCGACCGCGCACGCATTCAAACCGCCCATAGGAAAGCATTACTCAATGCTTTCCTATGGACGTTCAGTGTGCTCCTCTAGCTGCTGTCCGTGAGACAGCCACTAGAGGCTGGATTAACCCTCAGTGAAACATAGCAGTTTCTCTGAAACTGCTATGTTTTCAGCTGCAGGGTTAAAACTAGAGGGACCTGACACCCAGACAACTTCATTGAGCTGATGTGATCTGGGTGTCTGTCCTTTAAAGGACCACTATAGTGCCAGGAAAACATACTCGTTTTCCTGGCACTATAGTGCCCTGAGGGTGCCCCCACCCTCAGGGACCCCCACCCGCCCGGCTCTGGAAAGAGGTAAAACTTACCTTTTTCCACCGCTGGGCGGAGAGCTCTCCTCCTCCGATCCTCCTCTTCTCCTCCCCGTCGGCTGTATGCGCACGCGCGGCAAGAGCTGTGCGCGCATTCAGCCGGTCACATAAGAAAGCATTCATAATGCTTTCCTATTGACACTGGCGTGCTCTCACTGTGAAAATCACAGTGAGAAGCACGCAAGCGCCTCTAGCGGCTGTCAATGGGACAGCCACTAGAGGAAATAGGGGAAGGCTTAACCCATTCATAAACACAGCAGTTTCTCTGAAACTGCTATGTTTATGAAAAAATGTGTTAACCCTAGCTCGACCTGGCACCCAGACCACTTCATTAAGCCGAAGTGGTCTGGGTGCCTAGAGTGGTCCTTTAAGTGTGTGTGCATCTGCATGCACTGGCGTACATACCGCGGTCGCAGGGGTCGCAGCCCGGTAACCCCTGCGACCAGGTGCCCACCGCCATGTGTTGCGGCCCGGCCCACGCGGGGGGGGGCCCACGGATCAATTTTCGCACCGGGGCCCCATGGGTCATGTGTATGCCACTGGTGAAGCTCCAACTGTTTCCATTAAATGAAGCAATGATACTGAAGATAGAGATGAATTTCATTAGAGACAAAGTGGTGAGTGCACAGTAGGTGCATAAAGACTGCTGCCTCTGCTTTCTGGACCCTCCTGTTCTAATTCCGCTGTGTCATAGTCCTGGGACAGACTGAGAAACATTCATCTGCCTCTTGCATTGTGAATTGGACATGCTGCTAATTCCATTATCCAGAGGCTAAATTCTACTAATAGCAGTGGTGGTGGCAGTAGCAGAGGCAGCAGTGGTGGAGATCGCACCCTCCTCATGGGCAAGGAAGAGGTGCTTAGACTTTCATAGGACATGGCACTACTGCTGATGGTTTGTTAAGGAACACAACTCCTCCCCTAAGCATCCACAATTTATTCTTTGGGTTAAGACAGAACTGTGATGATGGTTGGTATATTTTCTTTATTACAGTAAGAATGATTGTGTATTTTGTAAACTAAAATAATGTTATTCAATATGGTATCTGTGTTGCAATATGGGTTAATGCTTTGTGGATTTACTGCTGTAATGTTATTGGGTTTGACGTTAAGAAACACTATAGGGGTGTGGCCTGACTAGGGACCGAGATGGCCGCTTTGGAGTAGAGCTCCCGTCCCAGCACGCCTTAATTAGCTCACATTAGCACCAATACCTCAACTTTAAGAGAAAAAAACACCGCCATGGATAAAAGAACCCAAAAGAAACAACCCAAGAAGGGCATGGAGCCTGGCACATCAGTCTTGGACTTGATGTCGGCACATAAAACCGGAGCCACGGATCCTCAAAATGGCACTGGCAGGAGCCCTGGCTCTCAACCCCCATCGCCATGTGCGGCGCAGGCCGGAGGGCCTGGCTCAGAGGAAACTGCACAGATTCTGGCGAGACTGGCTGAGGTGCAACACTACCTAGCGGGCAAAATCGTAAAGTCAACGACGGTCCTGCAAAGTGAAATTGCTGCATTAGGAGCACGCACCGCCAGGTTGGAAAAGAGGGTGGAACTGACAACGAGAGCCCATAATACAGCAATCACCCACATCAATGAGCTGACGGCCCGAATGTCAGAGCCGAGCTCTGAAGAAGAAATAATCTCCGGTTGCGAGGGCTACCAGAGGGCGAAGGGGAAGGCACATTACAAGCCTTACTCCTGGGAATGTTCAAACCCCTGTTGCCGGATCTCCCGGTGGAACAATGGCACATGGAAAGAGCGCACAGGGCCCTGCGCGCAAGAAGATCAGATTCCCAAGGGACGTGATAATTAGTTTCCTCTACTTTCAAACCAAAGAAACCCTCATGAGGAGATGCAGAGAAGTGAAGATCCACCACAATGGCACAGAACTTCAAGTATACCAAGACCTGGCACCCAGCACTCTCCAGAGACGGAGGGAGTGGAGACCCATTACAAAAGCCCTACGGAACGCACACATCCAATACACCTGGGGTTTTCCTTTCAGGCTCATGGGTTTTAAAGGAGGAAGAACCTATACCCTCTCACCCAACGGCGACCCAAGAAGCTTTCTAGATACCTTGGGGATTCCTCTCAGGGCGGTCTACCTACACGCAGGCCAAATACGCAAGAACTAGAAGCTTTACCGGAGGAGTGGCAGGAGGTGGGATCCCAACGTCGCTGACCTTCACTGCCGGTAAGATGGAACCGTCCCCAGGGTCTGAGGTCTTGTGGGGGATACGGAGTCCTGGGGGTAGATGCCAGGACTGTTTGGCCAAGCCCAAGCTCAGGTGCCCAATGTCAATTATAAGGGGGGGAAGGATAAGGGGGGGAAGGATACGCAGGGCACTGGGAGCCTTTAACAGGAGCATAACTCACCAAAAAGGGTGTTGCTTTCCCCCTGCACAGAGAGACACAGCAAGAGGGTAAAGCACCACGAAGAAGCAGGGACTCCCACTGTATGTATAATGGGGGCACTGGAGCGCGGTTGATCGAGAGCTCCATGGGATGACATAATAGAACGTTTGCATGTTTGACCGATAGATAATAGTATGCTCGAGAGGGTATGTGTCTTTATACTGGAGGGTGTTTGCACACATACATGCATGCGTGCTTATATATATACATACCCGTGCATATATTTGTATAAACATGCATAGCGTTGTTATAAAAAAAAAAAAAAAAAGGGGTAAAATGTAAAAATGTAAATGTATAAAATTGCCAAAAAAAGGGGGGGGAAGGCATATTGTTATTGTTACACTGCTTGGTTGAGTTCGGCCATGCCTTATAGTTCAATGGCTCAGGCTTCTGGTTGGACAGGGCGGGAGATGTGTCTGACCTTTGGCGGGGGGAAACGGTAGGAGTGCCCGACAAGGGAGCCCGCGCATGACACAGCTGGGGATCCCTGAGTGTGGGGAGGCACTTCAGCCATCTCACAGGTCACACTGCATGTTGGAGGGAGGGGCGTAGGTTACCGGTGGAGTGGGTGGACCGGGATCAATAGTTACACGGTAGCAATGCAAGACCAGAGCGGTTGCACTACAGACTGGAGCACCCATGGAACGAGACGCTAGGGACCTCCGCCAAATATAGCTCACACATACACGTGGCCCTGACATCTCCAGATAGAACAGCGACATTGGTAGTTCACTTCTAACTCACACCTGAGACAACCGAACACGGGTATATTAGTGATAGGCTCGAACGTGCACCAACCCCGAACCTGCTTACTAGCATAGCCCCCACCTGGCTGTACTGCCTTCCTTTACCATCGCCATTGAAACACGGAAAGGAATCCTCAAGTGTTATATCGCCCACCCTCGGTAATGGCGGAATAAAACAGCTGAAGGATAGCAGCACACCGTTTACTACAACACACCTAACACTAAGTCGAGGTACACCAACTCTGCACGAAGGCGTGCTGGGAGATGGGGCTCATGGGAACGCTTCTCTACCAAACGCAGGACGTGGGGGAGATGGGGGGTCCTGCCCCTGAGCAAGTCTGGCGAGAAATAAGCCCAGACACGGAAGGGGGAGCACGAAAAGTGCATCTCCATTTCTTCTATCCTATTTTTTTCTCTTATCTCTTTTCTTTAGTGGAGACTCTTGCTCTCCCTGAGTGGCAGTGGGCGTGGAGGCCGGGGAAGGGGGTGGTGGAGGGGGGGCGCATCCATAAGCGTTTGAACGACATAGATCAATGACGGTGACATTGACTTGCCTAAACGTAAAGAGCTTAAACTTACCGACGAAGAGACGTTTGTTATTTAGAGAACTTAAAAGGCTGAAAGCAGAAGTGGCGTTTATACAGGAGACGCACCTGTCGAAACAAACCAAACTCCAGCTAAAAGACCACTCATGCGGCACAACATATGAAGCTATAACGTTACGAAAACGTAACGGAGTAGCGATATTCATTAAGAACAGCTGCCCTATTAGAGTATCCACGACAGAGACGGACCCTGAAGGTAGATATATTATAATCTCAGGTACACTATTCACCCAACATATCCATATGATTAATGTCTAAGCACCAAACCACCCAGACCCTGCTTTCTGGGAGACACTTCAGAGGACCCAACAACACGGCAGGGTCATAGTGGGGGGAAACATGAATGCAACACCGTGTCCAGCCATAGATAGAAGCACACACAGGACAAATTGTTCCATAGGTTCATCACCACAATGGGGTTGGTGGACGTGTGGAGGGCACATCATCCGGGCGTCAAGGCATACACTTTTTTCTCGGCCCCGCATAAATCCCAATCTAGAATAGATATGTTCCTGGCCAACAACATGAGCCTAACCCATATCACCAGCACGGATATTGGTTCGATAACCTGGTTAGACCATGCAGACGTGTACTTGACAATGGGGAACCTGCCCGTATCACCCCCATGGACATGGAAGCTTAATGCCTCACTACTATGGGACCAAACCATAGTGGACCAAATTAGGACAGAGCTGATCGGCTATTTTGAGACGAACACTACCCCAGATGTTAAGCTAGCAACAACATGGGCTGCGCTAATCAAACTAGCAACAAGAAGGAAGAAAGCAAAGAGGGACTACTGACAGAGCTCAAGCGGACAGAACAACGCTATCAAAATAGCCCAGACGACGCGGAAGCAAGCCGGCTGGAAGGCATACGATTAGCTATCCGCACTTTACTACTTGACGAGACGGCCAAATCAATCACATGGTCTAAAAGGAATTTCTATGAACATGCGAACAAAATGGACACGCTGCTGGCCAGAGTACTGAGGCCTCGGAAGAAGATGGGACATATCACCTCGATTCGCCACACGGACGGCACAAACAAAACTAACCCCAGAGACATAGCAGTGGTATTCACAGACTGTTATAAAAATCTATATAACCATACCCCAAACGCTAGCGAGAGGACGAAACAGGTAGCGGAATTAACATCGCAATTCTTGAGCAACCTGGAGCTGCCAAAACTATCACAGGAAGGGGCAGAAGCATTAGCCAAAGAAATTTCTGCAGAGGAGGTGGCCAAAACTAAAAGGCAACAAAGCCCCTGGGACTGATGGATTTATCGGTAGCTACTACAAAGAATTTAGTAACGAATTGGCCCCCCGCTTAGCAGCCCTCTTTAACGAATTTAGACAAGGGGAAATTCCGGATCCAGATATGGCCTTGGCTACCATTATCTTACTTCCAAAACCGAGCAAAGATCCGGGCAACCCAAGTAGCTATAGACCCATATCACTGATTAACCACGATATGAAAATTTGGGCCAAAATCCAAGCGACAAGACTAAACCCATTCCTGGACTCATTGATAGACGCTGACCAAGTAGGCTTCATACAAGGAAGACAGCTCTTCAAGAACACACGCAGAAACATAGATCTTATTTGGAAACAAACAGCCTTGAAAACTCCCACCATGTTTGTTTCGCTAGACGCCGAAAAAGCGTTTGATAGGGTCACGTGGCCCTTTCTGCTCAAACATAGGTTTCCCAGACCAAACCATAACTCTGATTAGGGCTATGTATAGCAACATGAGAGCCCAAATAAAAATCACGGGAGCTCCGTTATTACCTTTTAAACTACACAACGGCACTAGATAGGGATGCCCACTAATCCCACTCCTGTTCGTCCTAACCCTTGAGCCCCTATTACAAACTCTAAGGGCACACCCGGATATACAAGGGGTCCAAGCGGGAGGCAGAGAATTCTTGGTGTCGGCGTATGCGGATGATGTGCTCTTGGCCCTAACTGACCCTGTTAACTCCATGACGGCATTGGGGAAAGTACTAGATATCTTTGGGACAATATCAGGGTATAAAGCAAACATGTCTAAATCCTGCGCCCTACCACTCAACATCTCAGAAATAGACATCACTACAATACAAACTACACACCACATAGCCATAGAAAGAAAGGCAATCAAATACCTGGGCATAAACCTCACGGCAGATCCGAACCAGCTATTCCAACAGAACTACTCACCAATCTTAAGACAATTGATCAGAGAATTAGAGGCCTGGAACGAGAGACCCATCTCATGGATCGGTAGGATCCATTCCGTTAAAATTAATATCCTACCCAGGATATTGTTCTATTTCCAAACGATCCCCATACATATATCTAAAGCACTTCTAGCACCCTTACAACAAGCGATAGGGAATTTTGTCTGGCGAAACAAATGACATAGAGTATCGAGACATGTCCTGCACAGGCCAAAGACAAGGGGAGGCCTGGGTCTACCCAATATATACGACTATTACATGGCGACCCAACTATCGCAGATAGCAATGTGGCACTCACCCCTGAATAAGCGGAAATGGGTAGACCTGGAGTCGCTGATGGTGGGGGCAGATATGCCACAGCTCCTCAATTGGGTTCTAAAAAATAATAGGCCATTGATAAGGGTCACATCCCCAACTATTCTCAACTCTATACGCATATGGGACAAATCAAGCAGGCAATACGGGTTGGCATCGGACCCATCCCCCTTGATGCCTTACCTCCGCAATAGGGCCTTCCCCCCAGGGATGGCAGATAGGAACTTTAGAAATCTGGAAAACATAGGACTCCAATGCATATGCCAGGTAGTACAAGGTACAGAGGTAGTCCCATTTGATGTCCTGCAGCAGAGGGGGCATCTCACTCAAGCAGATTTTTTCAGATACATTCAAATAAAAGACTTTGCAAGATCCCCTCAGATTCAGACGACTGCCCAGAAACCCCTTACCTTTTTCTAACAGATGTGTACACAGGACAACATGCCAAGGGGCTTGATTATGACACTTTACGCAGATACTACTGGAGGGGGAGACTTGACATACATAGAACAATGGGAGAGGGACCTGGTAGTGGAGCTAGAAGGAATAGAGTGGCAGGAGATTTGGGAGGCCAATCACACTGCCTCTATTTGTGTTAAATTACAAGAGCAAGCAGTTAAAACAATGCTTAGATGGTACACAAC